CCCACACATTTTTCTCTAGCTGAGCTCAAAATGTGAGCTGAAGAATTCCTGATCTTCTCATGTGCCAGCCAGTCCTTCCTGCCCACTTGTTTTTTCCCTTTCCAAGTTTGATAAGTGGTAGTAGTGACCCATATGAAAAGGATTTGGAGGGTTGTCCCTTTCTTCACAGTATTTTCACAACCTAGTGCATTGAATGTTGCATAAGAGGCTTAAATGTACATAGCAAATGCAATTCTTCTAAGACCTATTGAAATTGAGGTATAACCAGAAATAAATAAAAGAGAAGAGACAAATTCTACTTCCCTCACTGCTTTCTCTATTATCCCATGATTGTTCCCAACATTTGACAAGTAAAGGAGGGAGAAGATTTATTTGGGGCATATGGGAGATCTATGGGAGGGGGTTAAGAATGTGGAGGATCAGTGGGATGGGAGATAATTTTTTCTGCTTGTTGGAGTGGTTCAGAAAAAAATGATGTGCATCCTTTAATTTTAGGAAGTATATGGGGAAGAGATGACAAGAGTATCTTTTCCCCCCACTTTGTTTCAGGTTTCTTGTTACTCAACTTCTTTTGAATTCTGTTTTCTTCAGAAAAAATAGAAAAATGAATTCTTTGGCTATCTGCTAGTATTGTACAATCTGTGGGTCAAATGTAATGCATAAGTTAGGAATTGACAGCATTATTATTGTGGAGGGAGGTTTTTTTTTTTTTTAAGTGAAATGCCAAAGTCTTGTCTTAAATACCTGCAATTCCTTTTGAACCAAGACACAGGTTTTCACGTGATTTTCCAGCTGTTGGGATCCAAAGGGCCATTACACTTTTCATAGAGATTTATACTGTTTGCCAAGCATCTTATTGTGAACTTGGAAAGCCACACTTTCCCCATGCCATGGAATTTAGGCTACCAAGCAGCTTGCTTTAACAGCAGATGATGGAATGCTGTACAAAGAGAGACAACTTGGAAGCATTTTATGCTATTTGGCAACCAGTTCAAGATTGCTTGACTCAGTGAAATATGACTTGGTCTTTATCACCTAGTTGTTCCTGGCCAGCTCTTTCTTCTGTATTTTTCATCTGTCCCTGCTTTCTGCAGCTTATTGTGTATGTGAATTTTTTTTTTCAAGCGGTGGGCATATGTATTACTTTTCTTTGGTCAAATATTGGTTTATATATAAATCAAGATCTACTATGGCACTGAGGATAATAGGTTGGACTGTGGAATTGGAGACCCTTGGCTGAATTGTTTGGAATACAAAAGCGTAAGAAGTTGCTTTATACTGACAAAGTTCATACATTGTACAATAATAGCTATAATATATTTTATTTGCTTTTGGTTTTGCACAAGGTGAGAATGCAGTAACTGACACACACACACAGCCATAAGCTGACCTGTATTTTTCATGGTATCTGAGGGTCTGCTTACCTGTGGTGGGCTTATACATGAGTATATATGGAAATATGGGTACTTTTAAAAAGTATTACCATATATACTCATGGAAAGCCCATCCACAGATAAGGCAAACCCAATTTTTTGGATGCATTTGGCACCTAAAATTCTCAGCTTATCTGTGAGTATATTTGGTATATTTCAACAAGTCCAGTGCTGGATCTTTTTCAATAGTCCTTATCAGCCATATGATGGCCTCTCTCTAATCCTGAGGATGGACTGACTCAATTGTCAAAATATCCAGTTGGTCAACTGATTAAGAATTTCCTATACAGCTAATTTTTTCCTGAAGATCTTTCATTTAGCCAATAACCGCTAGACCTGGCCTTAAAGAAAATATTAATTTTATAGCTGGTAGCCCCAACATGCCACATCTCCCCAGTGAATACAACTGAGTTCATAGAGCAAATAAATCTGCCCATACCACTAAAGTAGTCAGTGTAGTCACAGACACTTTTAGAAAACAATTTGAAGAAGAAAATCAGAATGTAGAGTGGGGATCTCAAATTCAAATCATTGTGGGGACCACTGATTCATTAGCTCAAGGACCACAACACTGAAACTTTGTCATACATGGGTACAAAAGTCTCTAGTAAGTCAAAACTGAAGAAAATGACAGGAACACAGTAGTTATTTACTTGATTAAAAATACTATTACCACATAGCTCCTTTTTTGCCTTCTCATTTAGCCCTTGTTATGGCTGCAAAGAGATTGTTGTATTGCTACTGAGATTGGTCCATTCATATTGTGAATGGGTCTTGCCAGAGCAGTGTCTGGGAAACAACATAGCCCAGTGTTTCTCAAACTTGGCAACTTTAAGACATATGGATTTCAACTCCCAGAATTCCCCAGCCAGCATGCTGGCTGGAGAATTCTGGGAGTTAAAGTCCACAAGTTGCCAAGTTTGAGAAACACTTATATACCCCCTGGTTCTGTGGAAAAGATGCCAGGAACTCTGTTGGAAGTAGAGGCAGAGATGCCTACACACACACACACACATGGCGCGCACACACACACACACACACACCTGGTCTGGGCTGTTATCCCTCATTAGTTTCATGGAACCTGTCCCAAAACAAGGCCTGCCTTCTGCCTGAGATACTAGGGGAGGGAATGGGAGCAGAGCAAGTTGAAGTTGTTGTTGTAGGGGGAGCAGGCACTAGCCTTAGCCATGATGGTGGTTTAGTGATCCCTATCTGGGTACAGGATCATCCTTTCTTCTGAGCCTGAAACTGTTGGTTCAGTGACTGGCATAACCTTGTATCTCTCCACCAATCGCCTGACACTCAGCTATGGCCCCAGATCCACAGAACCTGGCTGAAACTGGCAAGCTGCTGCTGTTGCTGTTCTTCTAGCAATCTCTGCCCTACAGTGTGTGCAGTGAGTGAGGTATATTCTATTGTTCTTGACTGCCAGCAAGTCAGCTGCTTCTTTTTCCTATCTCCCTTTTCCCATAACTCTGCTCTTTGCTGTTGCCTCCTGGCATTCCTTCACACCTCCCTTGGTGCACCCATTGAAATGATAGGGAGCAATGCCACCTTCTTTGGCAGTACACTTCACCAGCTGAGTTCTGCACGGCCTGCAGGCCTTAGTTTTCCTCTGAGTATTATTACAGGCCACAAAAAGTGACTTGGAGCTCCACTGATTGTCCATGAGGAAAGAGCATTGGGCCCCTGAAGTAGAATAAACTGTTCTGTGGGTCATTATGAATGCGACATTGACTCAACACTTGCAGCAGAACAATGCTTGAACACTAAGTCCTTGAATATCGTAACTGATAAAAAGAATGCATGGAGGCCTTATTTATGCAGAATGCGAAGGCATGAGTCACACTGAGCCTTGTTCTCCCCTTTCCCAGTATAATGGAACCAGGAGGAATTCAAAATCTTTCACTCACATTTTCAGTTAATCCTGGTGTATTCTAATATGCACAAGTTCGCAAACTGTGAATAACCTTAAACTGTGCTTTGTTGAAACAAACTAACTTCCACCACATTGGCAGCCCTTAGTTGACAGCTGCAAGCAGGTGTTAAGAAAAGAGGTTGTGTGCCAGGATGCTTATCTGTGCCTCTTATACTTTGCTGTCTTCAAATATAATAAAGAATGTTGGTCTATAATTAGAGAAAAACATGAGTACTCAAGCTTTATGCAGCTATGTCTGTGGGGTGCATGTAAAAAAATGTTTTATGAGGGTAGCAGTGAGCAGGGTTCTGACACTAGCACTATGATTGTTTCATAAGTGTATTAAGCCTATTGAAAAAAATTGAAGCACCAGCGGAAGCTTTAATATATGAAGTAGATATTAATCATCATCATCATCATAGAATATCATCAGTCAGTGCTCGGGAGGCTGGGGACAACAGGAGCCATTTTTGCTATCAAAGTGTGCAGATATTAGAGTGTTTCAGGACAGTGGAGGTCAACTAGTAAAAAATTCTCAGAACGATGCAACATTTGGGGATAATAAGGTCCAGGAATGGTTGCTGAATTCATCAGTGCTGAATCAGAAAGACTCATGGCAGTTTACAACAATATAATTAAAACATCCACAATAAAAAATAAAACAAATCATTAAAATTATGCAACCAAGGTACAAATACAAAACAACTAATTTGAAACTAAAAATAGGATAAGATGGCATTGCCAAATGTTCTAAAGAAAATTTCAGTCTTAAGCAACTTCCAAAACATTAAGAGATGGGGCAAGCCTGAGTTCCAAGGGAAGGCCAGGACAGTAACTAAGAAACAATATCCTGAACTCTTACTTCACAATTCCAGTTAAATAATTCTTTTAAGCAAAGGGTTGGATATTAAAGTCAAGGTTTCTCACACACAAGCCACTAAGCCTTCCATTATATGACATTCCTTCTTAATTCATGGAGCCACATTCATATGAAACTTCAAGCAGAAATTTCTCCAGCCTTGTTCTCCAAATACCTTAAAGCCAAAGCCATAGCAAGGATTGATCAATGCAGCATTCAACCCTTAGTAGTTGCTTTATATTATCATTTCCTGCCTCCTGCACTCCCTACTTTAATAACAGTTCACATAACCACAAAGATCAGATGTTGGAAGTACTGTAAGAATGAAATAACACCCAGTTTTTAATTTGCTTAAAAGGGAAATTGTGCAGTTCTAAAGCATTTCCAGATGCAGCATCTTGTATCTGAGGAAATTCTTAGGGTGGAAGTGAGGTGAAATCAGTAAATACAACAAGACAAAAAGAAAAAGTAGTAGTTAGAAGGTATAATATTCTTCAAGTCTTTTTTTAAGTGAGGAGTGGGTAGGAAGATGTTGAACCCACACAAAATAATGTACATTATTTGGCCTACAAACTAGAATTTCAGAGAATCCTATTATTATTTATATATACTATTACATGATTAATATAATACATACACATATGCTTTTACACACAGGCATGAGGGAATAGAAAGAACAGGAGTTTGTAGTTGATGAGCATGACTCCAAAATTTGCATTCCCCGGAAGACTGCTGGTAAAACTGATAAGACTTTTCAGTGAGAGAAGGAATAATGGATGATCAAACTTACTGAAATAAAAGCCTCTATCTCCGCAGACAAATTGAAGAGCATCAACCAACTCAGCACCACAAAGTGTCTCTTGGCCAGCAGCAGCAGCAGAAGAGCTGGTTAATGTAAGCAAACACAGGCCAAAGTAGAAGAAATTAATGGATGAAGCAGTAAGCATCTTCACCTGTAAATGAAGTAGAAAAAAAAAAAAAAACCATGTCAGAGTTTCTCAGAAAATCCCAGAATTGGGCTACTTGCACCAAGAACTCTCCCAGCCTGGTCCTTTCCAGATGTGGTAGCTTCGATAAAAGATTGGGGAAAGGCAACTTAAATATTGGTGAAAGAAAAGAAAAGGGGGATGGATTACATTAATAAAAAGGATGAGAGAAGATGCTTATCTAAATAGAATTTACATATGCTGATTTATTAGCACAGAGGCCCATTTAGAAAGAATTATTACATATTGAGGAAAATTCTGCTCAAATAACCATGGGCCTTGTCTGTCCAGTGGCTAATGTCTATGGGCAACTTCATATTTCTATTTCTGATGGTTCTTTATTTTAAACTGATTTGATTGGACAGTCTTTTATACAGGTGAGATTCTTCATTCAAACAGATCCTGGACAATATTTCAAACAGAAAACTTTTGTAAATTAGGATACAGGACTACTCCCAGATTAGAACTCCAGTTTTCTTTTGTTCAGGCTTTCTGACCTTTGAGAATTGTCTGTTGTTTCACTTCATGCCTTTTATCTGAGGTATGCCCCCCAAATTTTGACTGAAGTAAAATCTGAAGCACATTGGGGAAGATACAAGCATTTCAAGCAAAATTTAATTGAAAAAAAATATCATTAGTCCTTTTTATAGCCATTCCTTGGCATTTTTAGATTATCACCAGATTTCTCCTGAAGTTAAATTCAAAGCAGATTAGAAATTTGACTGAAACATTGTCTGATGAATGGCAAAAGTTCAAAGTGTTTTATCAAAATTAATGGAAGTTCTGTAAGTGCAGTACACCTTATAGAAGGATATGGGAAAGCTATAGCCAACATTCTGTTACCATAGCCTGTGGTCCATAAGCTAAATGCATCCCCAGTGTGTGTGTTTTTTGCAGCCTTCAGACCCTACCCAGATTGTGCTACCGACATTCCAAGGTAAAACATTAAAATTCAGCAGTCTGATTTGTCAATGTTTTGTTGCTGGGAATAAAATGCATAATCAATGCACTAAGCCTCTGATAAATAAAAGAGAGATATAAAAGTATAAAGCCAGCATGAATACTGGAAATGTCTAGTATATTGCACAAAGTGCGATGTGTATGACTATCTGCTGGGAAGAAGTCACTGGTATATGCTTGGTGCAATGAGGTCCTGGCTAGGAGGCATCATACGTCCTCTTGAATCCCAAGATTTTTTTAAGAGGGTCAACAGGCATCTGGAGAAGAAATACACCATGGGACAGAGCAGATGAGCCACTCACAGCCCATATCTCTGTCTAATTGGAATTTAGTCTCAGTTTATTAGCTCTCATCCAGTCCATTGTCCTGCTCTGGCATTGGTTCAGGATATCAGTTGCTAGGGTACCTGTACCAGTTGGCACCAAGCAATAGAGCTGAGTATCACCTGCTTATTGGTGACACTTTACTCCATAAAACTATACCTCTAATGGTTTCATATAGCTGTTTAAAGAGCATAGAAAATAAAACAGAGTCCTGAGAAACCTCACTGCATACTTGGTATGAAACAGAATAATAATGCTCTATGACTGCTTTCTGGAATCTCCTTAGAAGGAGCAGGGGCACTAATTCAGTGCTCCATTATCAACTTCAGCTCAGACAGCGATCCAACCTATTAAAAGGTCTGAGAGATCCTGGAGTGGTGAACCAACCATCCGCTCAAATACATTGCCCCAGAAGGGGTTGTTAGCTCTAGTCTTTTTTTTTCTTTTTAACAGTCTGAATGTTGCCTCTTTTAAAAGGCCAGAACAGCTCCTTCGCTTAAGGAAGAATTTACCACCTTCTGAATTCAGCCAGTTTTTTTCCTTATTAAATACAATAAGGCAGTAAGGGCAAGAATCAAGTCTACGTGTGATTGCTTGCCTATGCACGAACATTTTCTCTACATCTGCAGATCTCAGCAACTGAACCCCATTCAACAAATGCTCTGAATACCTGTACTGGAATTGCACCAATAATTTTGTCCAGTAACTTTGAGATAACTGGGCAATTTGTTTTCAGAGAGTCTTGCAAACTGAACACAAAGTGCCTTTGAGGGTGCAATCATCTCTCTTTCTGGACTGCAATGGATCCATCACCAATGAACAAGATTTACTGGATGACTGTAAGAAGAAGTAATGGAAATGGGGAAGACACACTTCACTTTCCTTACCCTAAAGAGTAGGCTCAATGATGAATTTTAATTCAGTTAAATTCAGCAGAAGTTTGCTTCACCTGCATTCTAGCTTTTGTTTCACTTGTTCATCAGCATATTCTAATAGGTGGGAAATTCTTTGTTATAGCAGTTATAGAAATAGGTTTTGAGATTACTTTGGCACTGGAGGCTAAACCATGTCAATGTGGTGCAGAGAAAACACTGGACTGTGTTCTTTATTCTATCTCCCAATAATTGATTTTTATTTCTATTAAGGAAACTTCATTTTAAAAAAATTCAAACTTATTTGAACACTAAAGAGACTACAGCCAATTTAGCAGCTACAGCTGTGATCACTGATCTTTAAAGAAAAGGTATATTTTCCCAAATCTAAATTCATTACATTCTACTCAAGTATTTTCTTTTGTGAAACAATTATTATCCTTAAATTGAGATGAATAATTTGCAGATATAATGCTTATTTCATTTAGTTGTTTTTTGCTTCTTATCTATCCACTTATTTATATTATAGCCAGTTGACTGAAACAAATAATTTGGAACTAGAGTATCAATAAGCAGGTGTTGATTCTGATCACTACTTAACAGCTGCACACTTTTCTTGCAATTGCTCAGAGTTGCTAGGAGTTGGACAGCATATAAATTTAATAAATTATTATTATTTGCACACATTAGGAGTTGGTGGACTAAGTAAAGAAGCTGAAGCTTTCAGGGAGAGGCCTAGATTCAGGCATTCTTTGATGGGAAATTCACAGTATTCCATCACTGGCCAAAACTAAAACATGGATCAAGTCAAGACATCACCTACCTAGTTTGGACCAATACAAATCCCTCTGTTTTGTACTTTGCATTAATAGAGCAAAATATATATACACACCTACTTTATATCCATTTACATTGCAACATTTCTTAATTTAGAGAGCTTTTGTATACAACTTTTCCTAATATTCATAGTTGTCAAGGCAAATTTATCTGAGAAAAATCTATTAACATAAAATGATTTTCAAAATAAAGTTAAAGCAATTAAAAATATTTCCCCTTTAGCATGCAATTGTGAAAAATATGTTACTTTCAGAAAAATCTTTTACTTCTTTGGGCAACTTTTAAATCAGATAAATATGCACCTTAGCAGTGTATGTGGGTGTGGTAGTTGATTTCTATCTTGCAATACACTCCTAAAGAAATCCATGGGTCATTTGTTGACATCCACAACCGTCTCCTATGCATTAAATTCATGTGAATCAGTACTATGAAGGCATCTGCAAGATTTGATAAACTGAGCCCCACCGTATTGAAGAGTTAGACTACCTAATTTCAGTTCAAGCAAAACTCCTGGATCTTTTAACCTTCACACAACTTCTCCAATTATTAATGGGAAAGGGTGGCATAAAAAAAAAAGGTTGGATCTATCTCCCTTTTAAATGCTTTCTTGTGCTGAACTATTAAAAACAGAGGGGTTCCCCACCCAAACATCTATTGATCCTGGCAGCTTATTCTAAGTTTTCAGAGGCCTTAACTCAACAGATATAGTATAGTTCAACTGTGAAGGGCAAGGCCAAATAGATTGGACGTGATCCAGCTACCAAAGCAGTTTTAAACTCCTGTATAAATGATGTTTAAATTAGGATCAGCAGCTGTGTTGTGTTACTGGAGCAGCACAAGGCAGCTGCAGTATGCTAATCTTTTTTGGACATCAGAGACAATTTAATCACTGGGAGGAATGGGCAGAAATTGCAAACACAAGCACCATCAAACTCTGGAAATTACAAAATACCTAGTTGAATTCACTAAGAATTGGGAGTACCTCAACAACTGCAGCTTAGAAATTCTCACACTTGTAACAAAACATTGTAGTGAGGAGTTTTTCAGTTCCATGCTTAACCCAGGCAGCCATGATGCTCTACTCCATTTCTCTGTACCAGCTATATATTGATTCTGAGTATTCCACGACTGCTACATAGTATGCCAAATCTTGATTGGGTTACATTTAGAGTTATGCATGAGTGAGTGTACTTCCTTAAATATTTTTTGTACTTCTGTATACTTGTGATAACTCAGCATCTGTGCTAATAGTACAGTACAGCTGAAGTAATTTATCTCCATCTATTGCTAAATGACAAGGATTCAGCATTATCATCATGATCATCCCTCTTGGTCCCATCCTCCCAGAATTTTGCCACATTCTAGTATAATTGAAAATCACAATGATGTTCAGTAGATAGGAAAAGGCTTGATTGCCAAAGACTTTACTGTTAATGGCTGGAATGATTGCATAGGTTACTTGCCTAAATATGTGTTTGAAAAGCAAGTTTTCCCTCTATGTAGCTTTCTCCAAAAGCATTCCTTTATTTTGAGAGAGAGAGAGAGAGATAGACAGACAGACAGGCAGACAAGATACACATGTTATTTGTTCCTGGGGGAGGGAATCAAAACCACAAACAGAAACCAACTCTTAGCAATGCCTAGCTTGGCCTTCACATTATCTGCAAAGCATTTCTCTACAAAAGCTCATCTGTAATGACTAGCCAACCCTATAACAGAAGATAATAATAGATGGGATCAACACCTTCATTTATCATGATGGAAACATCCAATATAAGAACAGAAAGTTATTTAAAGGAGTGAATGAAGATGAAACAGCTATTTATCATCTTCAATACATGATATTCCAGAAAAGTAGAATGTGAAAGACAGACAGATATGAAGCAGAAAGAAGGGTCATTATGTTTGATTGTGGAAACTAAGAATAGTCCCAGTTTTCATAATATCATTTTCCTCTATTTAATTATACCTCAAAGGTATTTAAGGCAGAGGTAAATCACCTGATTTCACAGTCTTGCTCCCAAGGGTGCAATTCAAAAAGCTCTCCCAACTTAGTCCCAATGAAATGGCATTGCGTACCTACTAAAGAACACTGTGTATTTAACACAGTGTTCTTTGATCCCAGTTGGCTTGGCCTCAAACATAAACTTCATTTAACAATGTTATTTTTTCTGAGACTGCAGCAGACTTTGCACACTGTAAAAAAGAAATATCAGTTCTAGGACAAGAGAATGGGACTCTGTGTTATTCCCATTCCTTTGTGTGAGCCAAGAATGTGACACCACACACTTGCCTAGAAGTTCAATATTTTCTCCTAGGTTGTAAAACCATAATATCTTTACAAATTTGGGAAAGAAGAAATAATGGATTCCTATATTTTTGGTCAAATGGACCAAAATCCTATTCCATAAATCATATAATAGTGTTTTTGAAGATTTATCTGACAGAAAATTATCTGATATAATTTAATAGTTCTTTTCTGTTTAGATGGGAAGGCTGGAGTCATTAAAAAAAATACTTACGATAATTAACAATTTGGCTGCTTGTCTTTTCAATAGATCAGAGTGTCCCCAATTTATTGTGTGTCCAATTTGAATTGAAGGCAGAGGCCTTTAAAAGCAAGTCCTGACAAGTGGGTGGGATTTATCAGAGTGCCTGATTAAATCTGGACTCTGAGTCCAACTCTGTACTATGCAAGATTGGCTAAACAATGTGGTAATGAATGACCAATTATATTTCACAGCTGGGATTTCAACAGATCTCTTGTTCAGGAGAAGATCCAGTATCTCCTGCATCTGGAGCACAGCAGTCCAAGACAGTGGCTCTTAAAGCAGCCAGCAGATGGCTTGCTACTTGGCTTTAACACCTTCCTTTGCCCTCCCCCAACTCCTCCCATTCAGCAAGCTTTAAATCAAGCAGTGTGTACAAAAATGCTTGAGTGAAATTTGGATGCCTGCCGGTTTGTGACTATCTAAAATAATAGTGCTTATAGTTTACTGAAAGTGCTTTTCAGAGACACGGTAGTTGGAATAAGAACACCATAGATAGAAGTATCAACCCATGCTAAGGAAAAACACACGTGAGCTGCCATTTGATCAGACATCATCATCAGGTAAATAAGGCAATATATGGAATCAAAATGACACCAAGGAAGCTTTGAACAAGAAATCAAACATAGGTACATTGACCACCAGGACAATGTGAGTGGTTTTGTTCTATTAGGGACTCATTATACATAGGTAGCCAGATGTTATTCTATGGGGTTCAAATGCTCTATCAGGAACTGAACTCATGGACCTTTGCACTTCAAAAGACTATATGCAATACATTAACTTTAGGAGCTATCCAGGTCCTGGCACTCAGTAGTTGCAGGAAGTGATATATAGAATCTATCAGACTCACCTTCCCTTAAGCTCTCAGAATAGGGAGATACAAATGTTGTATCATGTTATGCCTTTGTGTACAGGGTATTCTTTTTCTACCAATTGGCATTCACAAACTATACTGATGAATTAATTGCTATGGAAGAGCTCATTACAGCTAACATTATCCAGAAGGAGGTTGGGAGAAGTCCCCACAGTAGTAATTTCAAGGATATCCTTAGAACTTCAAGAATAGCATTATAATCTTAATATATCACTTGGAACTAAGGTTGCAATCTTATAAACACTTACCTGGTAATAAGTCCCATTTAACTTGTTGGACTTTCTTCTAAACATGCCTGCATAGGATTCAGCTACAAATCCCTCTAAATTTAATAGGATTTGGTTCTCAGCTAACTTGTTTAGTAGTAGGGAGTCTGCCTTCTTTTATAAATTCAGTTTATGTCACTACACTCTGCTAATTAATTGTGATTTGGAATCTGTATTATGTTGGGAACCTTATAATAAAAGTTCTAATTTATCTTCTTCTTTCCAATCAACTGAACATTGGATGCTGTCCATAGTTCTGCAATTATAACCATGACCCTCCAATGGCTTTTGGTTTCAGTAATATTTGTATGACACCCTGTTTATTCCTACTCTAGATATGTTATAAAATCCTTTCTCTCTATTAAAGTAAAATGGATAAATCCTACTCAGGCAAGGTAGCTGTAAAAAAGTAAAAACAAAACTAAATTGGCACCTACAGCATTGGAGACTGTCAGCTGCACACAACTCTGCCTACAAAATGGAAAAACAAAACTTTATTCTTGAAGGATATAATTTTGCTGAGAATGGAAACTTGAGGCCAGCTGACAAAAACAGAGGTCAGTGGATCTACTGAAGTCAAATCTATCTAAAAAGAGTGTTATGTTTCTAAGAAGCAGTGAATACAGGATACTTTTAAAAATCCTATCAAACTTTGCTTGACAAAAAGCTTCTTTGTCAAAGTAAAATAAAACTGGAGAAAATAGTTTGTTCACTTTTCTTACTGCATAATTGCTTAAACTTAGCATGAATCTGCCTGAGCAGAAAGAGCTGTGCATGGTTTCTCTTCTAGAAAAGGAAAAGCAAACTTTAACAGGAAACCAGTAAAAAAGTCTAAATGTACATTGATGCCAATAAACAGCTGCCATAAAGACTATACACTCTGGGTTACTTCTGGGTATATAAAAATCTCAGAGAACTGAATCAGCTACTTGATGTCTAATGGGTATCACAATGTCAACAGCTGCACCTGCAGTGAAATTCAAAACTGCTTGTATCCAACTCAGCAGTTATTAGCCACAGCAAATGATGTAAGTGGGAATTTTAGATATGACAGAGCAAGAATTTTTGCAGAAAGTTTCTCTAATCCAAGTTGAATTCTTAAGTACCTGCCATAGATTCACCTTTACAGTTTCTAAGCTGTGTTCAGAGCAGTCATTCCTTGCAGTCATTTCTCAACTGTGCTAAAATTGTTCAGCAGTTTAGAAATAAATTCCCAGGGGAGAAATAATGCCACTGAAAGTCCTAGCAATCTTCAAGCCAAAATCTGATTATACATACAACAAAATTATAAATATATATATATATATATTTAAAAAGAAATCAAATAGGAAGAAAGATTTACCTTCAAGAAATCACAAAAGCAGCACTTAAATAATAGTGTTGAAAGACTGTTGATTTTCCCCATTGCTTCTTAAGTGCAAACTCTGGAAATGAATTGGTTAGCAGAGGAATAATGAGGGGGGAATAAAAAGAAAAAGAAATCCAGGAGATGTTCACATATCAATATTGAGGAGTTTTATTCCATTGCGCAGGCTTGATCTGCTCTGATTTGAGAGTGAGATTTAGCAAACAGAAGAAGATTTAGAGAAAATCCTCACATTTATCTACATTACAGACACTGTAGACAGGAAACAGCTGGAGGAGCATTTGCTTTCTCTCGCTCTCTCTCTCGCTCTCTCTCTCGCTCTCTCTCTCTCCTTTCTCTCCCTCTCTCTCTCCCTCTTCTGGCAAAGTTACTGAGTAAGGATTTTTTGGGCACAATGACAAATAACATCATACCTTTGCATTTTGAAACTGGAGCACTGAAGTGTCGTTGGGTTTTTTCCACCCAATCCCCCTCCCTCTTTAAAAGAATGCACGCTTGTGAATGGAAGACAGGAAAATATAGTTTGAGAACTCAGAGAAGCTGAAGCTGCAATAAGAAATGAAACATACAAGTGGTCATGTTTCAGCTGGCTGCCATATATACCCAGAGGTTGACTCAGTTACCTTTGCACTATACTATCCAAAAAGCTGCTGGACATTTCTGCATGGTGGCCGTCGTCAAAACCAGCTCTTCCTAATGCCAGTGCTAAAATCACCATTTGCCATCTGATTCCTATAAGAATGGCTAATCCATACACAGTACATCTCCTCGTGCTTTTTTATGAAACCCTCTGAAATACATAATTGCATCTTGACAAGAGTGACACATTTGTTTTTTCTTCTGTCCCACCTCTTCATGGATGTTTCATGACACTTTGCTTTTTCTTTTAGTTAAAGCAAGCTTGAAGGGTATAGTCCCCTTTTAGCACTGCTGAATGGGCAAGGACAGCAACGAAAGGAGTGATGATGCAAAATGGGCGCAGTCAAGGCAGTCTGATTTTTTCCAGGATGAAGGATGTTTGTTTGTTTTTTACAAGTGTTACACCTGCTTTAACATTTTGTATTTCACTCAAAATGGCAGGAAACTATGTCACTGATTTTGGTAGTTGAGGCTGGAGGAGCTGCATGTTGTACAACTCTGTATTAAAATATTAGGGAGGGGTCTTCAGGAAGGGACTGTGGTTTGAAGATACCAGGTTGTTCAATAACAATCTTCACAAGGCAAGAAAGACCTTTCTAAGACGAATCCAGGGTGGGGGTGGGGGATCCTATTCCCAGTCATGAATAGATTGTAGAAAGTTAGATGGATAAATAGCTTGACTTCACATAAGACAGCTGAGATCCTGCTTGTCTAAAAAGTTGGCCAACTCCTATTAATAACAGAAAGAATTGGGCAGTGGAGCTGTTCATGGTAGGGGAACCGACTTTATCATCTGCCTGTATCTATAGACCAAGCTGCCCCTTAAATACCGAGGAGAAAGTATCTTAAATGATAAGCATCTTTGGAGGCATATTATCAAAATTGCTGATATGTCACCTCCCATCTATTAGCAGATGTACATCTTTTACATCTTTATTCTTTTCTCCTCAATTTTTTCTAATTTATGAATAACACATAGTGGCCAGAAATATGAGGATATGATGCTATTTATCAGTTAAATTAAGTTGAAAATATAAAAATGCAATGTAATAGACATGATCTGTATAAATTATATACAGTTTAAGACAATGAGAATTACCACATGCAAGAGTCAAAGTATGCTTTCTATCAAAGCAATAAATGCATTGCATTTTTCTTTGCAAGTTGTTGGGGATTTCTTACACAGTGAAAAGGGGGGAAAAGCTACTTTCTCCATGTTTCAGATGAAATTCTAAAGCTGAAAGAGTGGTTTGCCCCAAACTATTGCAAACTTTATCCATCATTAGGAAGAGTGAAACAGATTCTGAAGCATGAGAAGTAAAGTGTTGGAATATAAAGGTGTACCTGTTTTGACAACCGATGCACCATTTAAACAGTGGCAGAAGGTTATATCTAAATTTGTGTTGCAAGGGAAAAAAACCACAAGTTAAGTATAAGGTACTACAAGATGCAAAGGAAAGAGGGGGATTGGGTTTGCCTGATTTGAAATTGTACTTTGCAGCTTGCTGTTTGGTTTGGATGAATGAGTGGATGCTGTTGAGAAACAGAAGGCTTTTGGAGTTAGGAGGACACGACCTGAGATTTGGGTGGCATGGATATTTGTGGTATGACAAAGCCAAGGTCAATGTGGATTTTAAAATTCATTTATATTAGACATGCCATATTGAGAATTTGGAACAGATACAAATCCAGGTTGTGCCCAAAAATACCTTGTGGCTCTCAGCAAAGAAGTGTTTATAGATGAGAAATGATAAACAAACACAAATGGCTAACTTATCATGAAATACTAGAATTTTATCAAGGGGAATGTAAAATAAAATCAAGAGAAGAACTGGTGGGTGAGGGACGTAGCTGTCAATGGTTTTCTTATTTGCAATTATTGGAAAAATTTAAAGTAGACAAATGAATTTATGGTTTTGAACATTCTAAGACTGGCTTTGAAATAGAATTGTGTACAAATGACAAACATGTAATTGCTAAAATGTATAGACTTTTATTGAAATTTGAAACAGAAGAACAAGTGAAGCAATGTATGATAAAGTGGGCTAAAATTTTTGGTTATAATATACAGATGGAACAATGGGAAAATATGTGGTTGAAACGACTGAAATTTACATTATGTTATAACCTTAACGAGAATTTTTATAAGATGATGTATTGTTGGTATATGTCTCCAAAAGAATTGTCAAGAACATATAAAGGGCATTTCAAATTTAAGTTGGAAATATGAACAAGAAGGGACATTTTATTGTTTGGTGGACGTGTAAAAAAGCTACAGCATTTTGGATACAAATTCATACACTGATTCAGAGGACTTTAAAGATTAATATACAATTGAAACCAGAAGTTTTTCTTTTGGGACTGATGGACAAACAGCTGGAAAAATGTAATGGAATTTTGTTTACTGCAGCAAGATTACTATATGCACAAAGATGGAAAGTTTTGTCATTACTCACAATGGAGGAATGGTTGGTGAAAATGATGGAACTTGCTGAAATGGCCAAATTTACTGCTTTGATTAGAGAAAAAACAGTATCTACATTTATTGCTGACTGGAAACCCCTTATAGACTTTTTGCATGAAACAGAAAAGATGAACTTATGATTTATGATTTTGATGATTAGATAGAATGGATTATAGAAAGAAGAGAGGTATATTGTAGAGTAAGAGGTAAACTTATAGTTGTACATATAACTGCTACAAAGAAAATCAGAAGCTATCTTTTTTCTTTCTTTTCTATTTTTCTTTCACTTTTTTCTTTCTTTCACTTTTGATTTTCCTTTTGATCTCTTTTTCTTTCCTTTTTCCTACTATATATTAGTTCTTTATTTTCTTTTTAAAAATCTTTAATAAAAATTATATGAAAAGAAAAAAAAGTTGTTAAGTGCCATTAGGCCTGTATTATCTCCCTTCAAAAGGCAATTTCTTTCAAGTATGTGAAGAGCACTGTCCAACAGAGGCTGAGTATGCTTTGAAAATATTTCAGAAAAGCTGAGGAACCTGCAGTAACATGAACACCACACCTCATTAAAGCACCTATGTCTTAAGCTCCCATGGAAGCTGTTATATTCTTAATGTGACTTATTAAAGCAGTCATAGGCTTCAGGCTTGTGATTCATTAAAGCAGTTGGCACCCTTTTTATGGCTTATATATGGATGCCTGAAAAAGTTTTTTTTTTTAAAGAGGTGCTACATTCATGTTCCTGCATGTACCAAAGCTTCTTTTCCAAAGCATGTTTGAAGTATGCACAGCCCTGCTATGCTATTGCCAGTGTAGAAGTAAAAATCAGCTGCTGATTTGTTGTTTTATGTGGGATGGAGAAGACATTCTTTCCTTCTTCTCAAATAGAAAGATATGCTGGACAGGCCCTGTTTTAGTCAGCCTATGGATGATTCAAGAACTAAAGCCTAGTTTTTGTGTTTCTCATATTGTTTATTACAGTCAAATATAATGAGAGTGACTGCCTTCACATATAACACTACACAAACATTTTTTTTTTTTTACCAGATCATAGTGGTCTGCTTGGACTAGGTTCACACATCACTTTAAGTCAAACTTCATGGATTAGGGCCCTTCCATTTGCAGCAGTTGCACTTACTTGAAATCAATGCTCTTCTGTTCCCACAACCCTGTTGGGCTTCTGCACCACTTCTAATTCAATTCCAGTTCAGGAAGAAAGCCTGCAAAAACAATTCTGCAGCTTCATGCAGAAGCTGTAAGATGGGCCATTTCTCATGGGCAAGAATTATCACCTTGTCCAGCCTCCTAGCTCCTCCCTGTTGAAGATAAGGCACCATAGTACCTGGCTCCATTTCCCCGTGCTTCTTAAACCAAGGGGCCTTTTTCTTCCCCTCACTTTGAAACCTAACATCACCAAAGAAAGTTGGATGTTGGGTCTCGGTTGGAAGCGGAGGTTCGCGTTTCCCCATTTGGTTTCACTTTTGGTTCCCCATTTGGGAAACACTGGTTGGTTCTGGAGCACCAGTATTTGGAAGACAGCAATGATAAGGACACTTGCAGAATGGCATCTGCCTGTTTCTGAGGTCTGGGAACCAAAGCAGAAGTGTCCTTCATGTGATGAGCAAACTAAGCCAATGAAACCCGTAAGTAATTTAGCCACTGCTGAATTATTTATTTATGTTATTTATTTTTATTTTTCAAATTTGTATGCCGCCCATCTCCCCCAGTGGGTGACTCTGGGCGGCTCAAAATAATAATAAAAAACACAGGATTCTCCAGCCATAGACA